TTTACGATTATGAATGTTTTATGGAATACAAAAACTTGAAAAAAAAACAAATATTGGCCCTCTGTTTTTATTTTCAATATTCTACAACTTTCACATAGCTTTTGCCTATCTCGATAATGTTTTATTTGAGGAGGAGACTATTAGCTCGAAAATAAATAGTAGTAAAAAGAATTCATTTTGAACAATAGATGTCTTTCACATCCAGCTATAACAATCAGTAATTTTTTAATTTCTAAATGGTAGTTCCAAAAAAACGCACTTCGACATCAAAAAAGTGTATTCGTAAAAATATTTGGAAAAGGAAGGGGTATTGGGTAGCATTAAAGGCTTTTTCATTAGCGAAATCTCTTTCTACAAGAAATTCAAAAAGTTTTTTGTACGCCAAACAAAAATAAATAAGTAATAAAACGTTAGAATAATTTGAATCAACTTGAAAAAATAATTCAATTATCCTTCAATTATTCAATTAGATAATAATTGAATAATTGAACGATTTACCTTTCCTATTTGATATTGATTAGCTCACCAATCCATATGTAACGGAATTCTATTCGCTTTTCTGATTGATATATAAAATAATAGAATTAGGAAATCCTCAATTTACTATTCACTGAATAATAACTTTTTTGTTGACAAAAGAATAAAGATCATTTCTATTCCAAGGTGGGGAGTTTTATTTTCCCCATCGACCTATTTACAAAATAAAATGCAAATAAAATTCTATATTTGCATATCTATAGAAGAACGTATATAAAAATCTTTAGTGAAAGTTAAGAACTCATTGAAAGTAATTGATTCTATTTTGAAACTTTTTTGTTTTCTCGAACTTTCTCACTTTTTATTTTCTCTGAATTATTATATAGACCCCCATGTATATCTTTCCCTTAACCCAATAGAGAAAATTGCTTACTGAAATTTTGTATGACTAACTGTGAATTTTTAGCGATGCAAAACTGGTTCTTTTCTTTCTATTTTGTCGTCAAAATCCCTTTTTTGTTTTATTTTAGATTTATGAAAAAAAATAAGAAATTGTTGCTTAAACAATGAAAACAAAAACATTTTGAACTCTATTTAGTTACAAGAGTTGAATTCGAGGAAAGTATAAAATATAGGAAAGTCACAGGTTAAATAAAAAAAACTAACTCTAAACTCAAACCAAAAATAATAAACCTTCAACCTCAAATTCCTCTTTGAACAACTTTTTATTGTTATTGATCCATTTGAATCATTACTAAACTAAAATAGCTTACTCAATCTCGACGATTGCTTATTCATAGGCTATTATGAGTTCAAGATAAGCCGATATGGTGAAATTGGTAGACACGCTGCTCTTAGGAAGCAGTGCTAATGCATCTCGGTTCGAGTCAGAGTGGCGGCATACCATCTTCTAAAAAGGATAAATAGATCTTATAATGAAATCAATTCCCGATTTCCATTTTAGAATTATGTAATTAAGGGACTCTTCTTTTTTAAGATTTTTTATGATATTTTCAAGAGCATATATTAACTCACATTTCCTTTTTGATCGTTTCAATTGTAATTACAATTCATTTGATAACCTTTTTAGTCGATGAAATTGTAAAACTATACGATTCGTCAAAAAAGGGCATAATAGTTACTTTTTTTTGTATAACAGGATTATTAGTTACTCGTTGGATTTCTTTAGGACATTTCCCACTAAGCAATTTATATGAATCAGTGATTTTTCTTTCATGGAGTTTCTCCCTTATTCATATAATTCCATATTTCAAAAAAAATGTTTTAATTTTAAGTAAAATAACTGGACCAAGTGCTATTTTGACCCAAGGCTTTGCTACTTCAGGTATTTTAACTGAAATACACCAATCTGGAATATTAGTACCTACTCTTCAATCTGAGTGGTTAATAATGCACGTAAGTATGATGATATTGAGCTATGTAGCCCTTTTATGTGGATCGTTATTATCAGTAGCACTTCTAGTGATTACATTTCGAAAAAACAAAAAGCTTTTTTATAAGAGCAATGGTTTTTTAAACGAGTCATTTTTCTTGGGTGAAAATGTTGTCGAAAATACTTTGCTTTTTTGTGCTAAAAATTATTACAGGTCCCAATTGATTCAACAATTAGATTATTGGAGTTATCGGGTTATTAGTTTAGGATTTACTTTTTTAACCATAGGAATCTTTTCGAGAGCGGTATGGGCTAATGAAGCGTGGGGGTCCTATTGGAATTGGGATCCAAAAGAAACTTGGGCATTTATTACTTGGATCGTATTTTCAATTTATTTACATACTCGAACAAATAGAAATTTGTGGGGTATAAATTCTGTAATTGTAGCGTCTATAGGTTTTCTTATAATTTGGATATGCTATTTTGGGGTCAATCTATTAGGAATAGGGTTACATAGTTATGGTTCTTTTCCATCAACATTTAATTGATTAGAATTGGTTTACGCACTAATGAATCAAATTGTCCACCTCAAACTAGTGTTAGTTCCCAAAATTTATATTTTTTGGGAGT